TATATATATATATACACAACGACAATAAAAAGGATTCTTCTTCTATTATAATGCATACATGTCATAGGTTAATATGGTCATACAGTGCGGCTCAGGATATTCTATCACCAAGTGGAAAGTTTCAGTGTGCCTTTAAAGTGTAGGTGGTAGTTAAAGTGTAGTTACTGGGAAATAAAAGATTATTAAATCATAAAAAGTAATAGCAGCCCATGTGTGGCTAAATAACCAATAATACCTATACATAGACAAATACTATATCAGCATAGACTGTTCACTGTACACTTGCATCTTTCTTTCCATATGTTTTTCTGCATTTCTGCTTCTATCATTTGTTGCACAAGTGATGTGTACTATGTTTAACAGTTTAACAGTTACATGTCTGATTATCTTTATAATAACATCAACACTATTCAATAAAGAGTAACTTACATAACTTCCTTTCAGCTTTGTCATTGCCTTTAACATCCAGGGTGAAATTAATGTTTTTCTCTCGGACTCCACCTGAATTAAAGACCTCAATGCTGTATTGACCTGAATCATTCCTCCTCAGGTTTGTGATCTTGATTGTCCCATTCCTGATTAGAAACTGTAGTCTGTTGTTAAATTTTTTGTCTATTGTTATTGTTTCTTTCTTCAGATTGAACACAATTATATTCACGGTGGGAAGCATCTTCAAACATGTCACTTCACGGCCACTAGCATCAGTCATCACTTGGATATACACAGTTCCTTTAAGAAGAGGAGAGCACGGACATGTGTTCGTCCTGAGGTCACATGTGGTCTCATCGACTGGAATGAGAGCTGGAAAAAACATATTTAATAGAACATGAGGTGAAATTATTCACACTACAAATGTGAATGTTTGGCTTCTTTATGAGGACAATCTTACCTTGAGTTCCTCCTGCTAGTAGCACAATAATAAAAAACTGTTCCATGCTCTTCATTCACCCACACTGTGGTTTCAATCTTTCAAAGCTTCTAGAAAATTATGTACAAATCTGGATGTAAATCTGCTGCAAACCTGAGTCCTAACTGATAGGAAACAGTAAATGATATAGACAGGTTATTTTCACAACAGCAGGAAATGAACTGCATGTCTACGTGTTGTAGCGACCTGATTTCAAGAAATATCCATCAAATGCGAATAAACAATTTTCCCCTTGCTCTTGTAATTAAATACACAAAACTGAATCTAAACAATACACACTTTCAAATGTGTGTCAGGCACACACAATTTTTTCTTCACGTTTACTTTTGAGAAAAAACGTGCAACATCTGAAGTGATAAGTTAAGTTACAAATCGTCTAGAGGTTCCTGTGGTGAGAGCTTTATTGCATAACAGTCTTTACAGGATGTCCATGACAGATGTCTTTTTATGTTTGGAGGTTTGCAGAGTTTGCTTTCTGAAATGAAGGGAGCGAACTGATGTAGAAAGAATAAAATGTAAGCAACCTGTGAAAAAGCAGCTTATTAAAAGGATGCAAATCATTAGCACAACATGAAACAGTGAGGCAATGCTGTCCAACAAACAAAGGAGACTTTTATCTACCAAAAGAGGCTGAATTCAATATGAGAATTTCAGCTACACAACTCACAAGTATTTGGTAACAAGCACAGATAAAACTGTAAATTATATTTCCAGTGGTAAGTCACCTGTGGATAGAAAAACTGTGTAATAACATAACAAGATTTGAAATGTCACTGAGAATATAGTAAAATAAATAAACATAAATAAACACGGCATGATTCTGCAATGGAAGCAAACATTACAAATCTTCACTTTGTAATGTTTTCAGTAAGAACAAAGAGTGATGGTGAACATGAATAAAAAAAGAATCAAGAAAATCTGTGTTTCGTCAGGGAAAAGAAGGATGTAATTAGCTTACTTACATTTGAATGGATGCACATAGCAGCACAGGCTAAGAAAGTAACATGTAAGTGCTCAGCTGGAAGTGAGAAAAGCTCATCTGTGAAAAAAAAAAGACCCGTGTATGGGTACTTCCTGCATTACAGAACAGAGATGGAACTGTGTGTGTGGTCCAGGGCTTTTATAGACACTGAGGCTACGCTGACTTTTATTTTGCAT